AAATAAATAAATAAATAAATAAATAAATAAATAAATAAATAAATAAATAAATAAATAAATAAATAAATAAATAAATAAATAAATAAATAAATAAATAAATAAATAAATAAATAAATAAATAAATAAATAAATAAATGTATTATTGTTGTTCATGGATACTATTTGATCAATATTTGAAAATACTGACCACCCATATCCAAGATGTTCGATGTAAATGTCATCGCATATAACAAGTTTAAACATTTTTTTTCATATCCAGTTAAAATTGGAGCAATTATCGGCGGTGTAATTGGTGGACTCCTGTTCGTCATAATAATTATCATCATATGTTGCTGTTGTTGTAAAAAAAAGTCGCCGACGTCACCGACGAGTACATCCAATACTGTTACGACTCACAATGCCACTTCTGTGCGGGCAAGACCTCTTCAAACACAGTATGTAGGAATTTAATATTCTTCAATAATGTATGAAACACCAGCACATGGCCATTATAAATACTTATTACACCGGGTTTGAAAATCGTGATGATTGTTACCTCCGTACAATCGTACAGGCGATTGTTTTCATGTGTTTATGTTTATTCGACAGACCCCGGCCTACAGTCGTCGCGGTTTCCTACAACATAACAACTGAACCAGGTGTGGGATATTATCCACCACCGCCACCATCGTATGGACAGACTGGTGGATACCACAATTCTGGCTACGAATCACAACCTCCGCCATCATATATACCACCCCCTGGAGGCAACGACCCAGCATACCCTCCTCCACCAATGCCCACAAACCCCGATCTATCAACTTCAGGAGGTAATACTTTCAGCGAATCTATGTACCCACCTCCGACAATGGTTTCCCCAGCCGGCAGCAACGATCCAGCTTACCCTCCCCCACCAACGTACGACGCTGTGAATACGTCTCACACGTAGACGATGTATTCTGTAAATGTACTATTATTTACTGGGGTTTAATTTCGCTATTATTTATAAATAAATATAATAAATACATTACAAAATAACAATAAAACTCATTGTTTCCTTGACCAATTCGTGAAATTATCACAGGGAAAATGCTCAAAATAAGTGAAATTAAATGTCAGTGAAAATAAATGGTTTTGCAGTAGCAACAGGAACATTAATCAGCTTACCTTCTAAGAACGACAATTTGAACACGTCACACACGTAGACGACATATAGCAACAGAAACGACAGCCCAGCTTACCAACACCAACATACGACACTATGAACACGTCACTAACATACGACACTGTGAACACGTCACTAACATAAGACACTGAACACGTCATCAACATACGACACTAAACACGTCACCAACATACGACACTGTGAACACGTTACTAACATACAACACTGTGAACACGTCACCAACATACGACACTGAACACGTCACTAACATACGACACTGTGAACACGTCAGCAACATACGACACTGAACACGTCACCAACATACAACACTAAACACGTCACTAACATACGACACTGTGAACACGTCAGCAACATACGACACTGAACACGTCACCAACATACAACACTAAACACGTCACCAACATACGACACTGAACACGTCACTAACATACGACACTGTGAACACGTCACTAACATACGACACTGTGAACATGTTACTAGCATACGACACAGTGAACACGTCAGCAACATACGACACTGAACACGTCACCAACATACGACACTGAACACGTCACCAACATACGACACTGTGAACACGTCACTAACATACGACACTGTGAACACGTCACTAACAAACGACACTGTGAACACGTCACTAACGTACGACGCTGTGAACACGTCACTAACATACGACACTGAGTACAAGTCACATATGAACGATATAACAACATCAGTAAGAAACGACCCAGCTTACTCGTCACCCCCAAAACAAGACACTGTTAACACTTCTCACATGTAGACGTTAGGAAATAATAACACAGCTTACCCGTCACCACCAGAGTACGATACATCTGATATGTAGACGATATACAGGAATACGGGTAGACAAATCACGCGCATCGTGTGTATGTTTTACCGCTATTGTATATATCTTAACAGTATATAAATACTACATTGTATATTGTGTAATTGTAGTAACTATCCCATATACATTTATAGTGTATACGAGGATTATATTTTTTATGTTATTTTTAATAATGGTATACACCGGATTTCATGAAGGAGTGGATTTGTTTATGTATAATTATAAATATTTATTAAACATTTATCCCAACACTTTTCGTGATTCATTCCAATACAAAGAACTTAATTTGATTGGTTGTAGAACCAACAACTCTTATGTATGAGTTTTTGATGGATTTCTTCAATCATTTGTTTATGGATATTTATAAATAAAGCTCGTGATTGTTTTCAATCAGTACTTAAAGTTTATAAACATTTATAAATATTTTATATAGAACAAATTCACGCCAGTTATTACCAGATTATGTTTGTATTTGAATTTTCTTTGAAATAAAGCCTGTACATGTACTTTTATATTATTAATGTATGTATGTTTTTTGTTTGTTTTATACATAAACGAGTGTGAATATATTAAACGAACAGCACATAGCTTTCATCATCAGGATGTGTATGTATATATATGTAGTCATTAACAGCCAATCAATCTGCAATATCCACATATATCATTAATCATTTGATTGTTTTGTGGCGTTAAAAATGTTTTTCATTTCTGCAGAATTGTCTGTTTCAAACTTTGTTAAAACAGTCACTAAACGCCTCACATATACTCATTTTATAACTTTTTCTATATGTTGTGAAATATACGTCAACATGAACATAAGTCAGCGCTGTGGCAATCTTGCTTTTCGTAAGACTAGGTATTAAATATTGAATGAATCGCAAATATTAACATTCTATAAACTCGTGACGAAATAACTTGAATACAAATCGGTGTTACAGAACATGATAGAGCGAATACAAACTAGTATTACAGAATATAAGGAGATTGCAAAGCAATGTTACAAAGCAGTGTTACAAAACATAATAGTAAGATTACAAAGCGGTGTTTCAGAACATGATTGTAAGATTACAAAGCGGTATTACAGAACATAATAGTAAGATTACAAAGCGGTATTACAGAACATAATAGTAAGATTACCAAGCGGTGTTACAAAACATAATATTAAAATTACAAAGCAGTGATACAGAGCATAATAGTAGATTTACAAAGCGGTATTACGAACATAATAGTAAGATTACAAAGCAGTGTTACAGAACATAATATTAAGATTACAAAGCATTGTTACAGAACGTAATGGTAAAATTACAAGGCATTGTTACAAAACATAATATTATTATTACAAAGCGGTATTACAGAACATAATATTAAGATTACAAAGCAGTGTTACAGAAAATAATATTAAGATTACAAAGCGGTATTACAGAACATATTATTAAAATTACAAATCGGTGGTACAGAACATGATAGAGAGAATACAAACTAGTATTACAGAACATAAGGAGATTACAAAGCAGTGTTACAAAGCAGTGTTACAAAATATAATAGTAAGATTACAAAGCGGTTGTTACAGAAC